ATCATTCTTTTCTTTGTTTTTTTTTTTTGGACGGATGTCTCACTTTGTTGCTGGGCTAGACTGCTGTGGCTTCAGAGCCTACTCACCAGGCAACCTCAACTCCTGGCTCAAGCACTCCTGCCTCAGCCTCAGCCGAGTATCTGGGACTACAGGCATGCGCCACCATGCCCAGCTAATTTTTCTATATATTTTTAGTTGGCATTAATTTCTTCTATTTTAGTAGAGAGGGGGGTCTTGCTCTTGCTCAGCTGGTTTTAACTGATAAATGCAACAACATGAATGATTTCCAAAATAATTATGCTGAGTGAAAGAAGACAAAAGATCACATACCATATGATTCCATTTATATAAACTCTAGAAAATGCCAACTTACCTAAGTGACAGAAAGTAGAACAGTGTTTGTTTGGGGACTGGAATCAGAGTGGGACAGGAGGGGACATTTCAAAGGGGCATAAGAAATCTTTGGGGGTAATTGAGATGTTTCACTACCTTCATTGTGCTGATGCTTCCACGGGAGCACACATATACCAAAACTTACTAAAAATGTGTGCACTACAAATATGTGCAGTTTATTATATGTCAATTATACCACTAAAAACTGCTGATTTTTTTATATGTAAAAATAAATAAAAGAAAGTGGGGGAAAAAGGATTATGATCAAGGGAGTGACTCAATCAGATTTAGATTTTTAAAACCTCCCTCTGGACAGTGAATTAGAGGTGGGCACACAGAAGTCAATGGGACCAGTAACTTCTGAAAAGTAAAAGTGGCTGGACAGAATGACTGATTTGGGCGGTGAGCAGAGGGAAAGGAGGGTCTAGGGTAACACTAGCTGATGGTTTGGATGCTACAGGTAGAAAATATGGATGAATGGATTTGGGCTATGAAGAGACACGAATTGTTGGGTTGGGGCATGTTAGAGATGGTTGTAGATTGTGCATACTGGTGGCAAAGTCCAGGAGGCAGTTGGACATATGGATCTTGGCTGGAAATATTTGTAACAGGCTGGAGTTGAGCTATCTATCTTTCTTTTTTTTTTTTTTTTTGACAATTTACATAAAACTCACACCTGGAAAATGCTTTAGAGAAAAAATGCTATCTCAATATTTTTATAATACAAAAGCTGGAAAACAATTTAAGAGTCAAGTTGGGGAACAGATAAATATTCCACTGGAGTAGAATATGGTTGTACCACGAAAAAAGATGATTATGAAGACCAAATGCTAGAAATAAGGAAATTAATTAAGATATAGTAAGTTAAAACAAAATCAGTCATGGTTGGTTGATCATATGAAATAATACATATAAAGTGTTTATTGGCCCAAAGTCTGCTGTGCAATAAGTTAGCTATCAATTTTATATACAGTATGATTGCAGCAATGTTGAAAGAAAGGAAGGGAAGGAGGAGAAAGAGAAGAAAGCAAAATTACAAATAGAGGCGGGGAAAGACTAGAAGAAAATAAACAAATCTTAAATGGTCTCTAGGTGATATATTTTCACTCTTGTACCTTTTTCCCTAAGATTTTTTTTCTTTTTCCCCTAAGTTACTATCTACCCCAGTTGTATATGCATGTGATGTTTAAAGAGTTACTGCTTATCTAACATAGTTAAAGGGACAGGTAACACTTGGGTTCCCCTCCCATTTCCCCTTCTCTGTGGATAAATATTTCAATTCTTTCAGCTGTTTTTGGAGGGAGTATTTTTTATATACTGCCTAAATGAATTGTACTTTAGGGATTTTTCTGTTTGAGGTATTTCAATTGACTGACAGAAGGTAAAGGACCTAGCTCCTTTTCTATCCATCTCCACCACCTACCACTCCTCCCATTATACATTCACATTCCTTTCAATTCAGCAATTGTATGTTAAGTATTTAAAATGGTAATGTTATTTGGATCATATCATATATATATATATATTTTTTTGAGACAAGTCTCACTTCTGTTGCTCAGGCTACAGTGCGCGTGGGCGTCAGCTAGCTCACAGCAACCTCAAAACTCCTGGCTCAAGCGATTCTCCTGCCTCAGCCTCCTGATGAGCGGGACTACAGGCATGAGCACCCTTCCTAGCTAATTTTTCCTATATATTTTAGTTGGCCAATTAATTTTCTTTCTATTTTTAGTAGAAATTGGATCTCGCTCTTGCTCAGGCTGGTTCGAACTCCTGACCGAGCGATACCTTCTGCCTCGCCTCCCAGAGTGCTAGGATTACAGGCATGAGCCACGCCACCCAACCGGATCATATCAATATTGAGTTATATGTTACTATATTATTTATAAGACTATGCCTGCTATGAGGAACTAGCCATGTACTAAGCATTACTTTGTGTAAACAATGTTTTCTTTCTCCAAGTTAATAACGTGTCATGGTTTTCCTTTCCTTAGTTTGTATGTTATTATTCATTCAACTCACTACTGATTCTCTTTAAACATTTATTCATAAAAATACTTGTCATTTCACTTTTTAGAAGATGAGAGAACTATTGAGATACTGGTTGCCACCAACCCCCTGAGCTTTTAAGGATCCTGTGGCCTCGAGCCACAACTGTGTTTAAAAAAAAAAAAGTAAAAAAAAATGATCTTGTGGTATCTGGTGTTCTCGTTTTCTTTCCTGCTAACATCCAGTTGAACTTTCCTTGGTATGCTACGTGAGTTATCACACAATTGTTTTTTTTTCTGAATTCCCATATTGTTTATTATTGTCGTTTTCTGCTGTTCTTCCATCCTTCTGGGTTTCAACTGTTTTTTTAAAATCTCTTTATGTCATTTTAGTGCATTTCATCTGCCCATCATCAATACATCCAAAAATGCTTTAATGGTTATTTATATAAAAAGGAAAAATTTCCAGATGAATACATTTATATACTAAAAGCAGTTACATATAAAGATGGAAACCCACAAGCTCTGCTCTCTGTGTATATGCATTCACACAAAGCATGAGAAGCAGTAAACTAACAAAAACAATGTCATACGATAAGTTCTGTGACAAATGCAAGGATCACACATGAGTGAGTTTATGGAGCCATTTGTGATTCCAGAAGAAATGCACAGGCGATGCCTTGACTAGACTTAAAACAGTGTGGCTGGATGTACAGAGCCAGTCTAGGAGCCTTGTATGGTTACAAGAGTTTAGAAGTTATCCTGAAGCATAAAGAGCAAGAATGGAGCAGGGGTTCTTTTTTTTTAGACAGAGTCTCACTCTGTCACCCAGCTAGAGTGCAGTGGTATCATCATAGCTCACTGCAACCTTAAACTCTGGGCTGAAGCAATGCTCCTGCCTCAGCCTCTGGAGTAGCTGGGACTACAGGGTGCACAACCACGCCCAGCTAATTTTTTTTTTTTTTTTTAGAGATGGGTCTAATTATCGCAGGCTGGGTTGTAATTCCTACTCATGATCTTCCCACCTCAACCTCCCAAATGCTAGGATTCAATGTGAGCCCCATGTCCCACCAGGGCTTTCTTAAAAAGTTAAAAAATATACATGCACCATATAAGCTCAGCCATTTCACTCCTAGTATTTCCCAAAAGAAAAAAAGCATATTCCATACAACACTTGATACAAATCTTCATAGCAGCTTTATTGCAATAGCCAAACCAGAATAATCAAATTTCTATCAATAGGCAAATGTAACAAATGTGTAATCCAGCAAATAAAAAAATAATGAACAGCCCGAATGCTCACATGTATATCTAGACTCTGAGAGGCTGAGGCAGGAGATCATTCAAGTCAGGAGTCAAAACCAGCCTGAGCAAGAGCAAGACCCCCCTCTCTACTAAAAATAGAAAGAAATTAATTGACCAACTAAAAAATATAGAAAAATTAGCGGCATGGGTGGCCATTGCCTGTAGTCCCAGCTACTCGAGAGGCGGAGGCAGCAGGATTGCTTGAGCCCAGATTTGGAGGTTGTGTGAAAGCTAGGGCTGACGCCACAGCACTCTAGCCCAGACAATCAAAGTGGATGACTCTGCTCAAAGAAAAAAAAGAAATGAACAACTGGAAGGTCAATTCCTCCACTAACATTCACCTTTACTTTGGATCCTCATATCATACATGGGGGCTAATGAAGAGTGAACCTGGAAAAATTCAGAAATTTTAACATGTTGCCTTCAATGTTTAATACCATTTAACCATCAAATTCTATGTTAAGAATTTGCACTTTAGAAAAGTATTACTGGCAAGCTGAACTGAGCATTGATAGAATGCCTATTTCTCAGGTATGGAAGCCTTTTTGGTTAGGTCAAATGATCTTTACCAGCTGAAAGAGACTTCAGCTATTATGTCAGTCATCCTTCGCCCAGAGCTGGTTTCCTACAGAGCACATCTGAACATCCTGAATGTTTGACAGCATAACTTTTACCTTCAATGTGTTGGTCCTCTTCATTAGTATGAATTTTCCTGACCACTTCCACACTGGCCCCTGTCTCTGCAGCTCCTGCTGGATGCTCCAAGCTTCCAACTACTTCTTCAATTTGAATCTGTTCCATGTTTTCTGGACCTTCGGGAGTTTTATGGAGTGGATCATTCATTACAGGTGTTTCCACAAGCTGACTCCTGTCCAAGACTTCTGGTGTTACTTTCTCTTTGGGAATTGTTTCTAGAAGCTGGGACTGCTCCTGTGTTCCCAGTGTTGGCTGAAGTTGCTGCTCTTCAGCTATTTCCACAGGCTGACTTCCTTCCAAGATTTCTGGAGATTCATTCTCTTTGGGAATTGTTTCTAGAAGTTGGACCTGCTCGTCCTTTCCCATTGCTTCTTGAGGTTGCAGCTCTGTAGCTGTTTCCAGAGGCAGAATGTTCTCAGTTGTTCCTAGAAGCATCATCTCTCCGGCAGTTGGTGGGTTCTCAGCACCTTCCACCACACCAGGGGAGTCCCTCTCTCCTCCCGTCCTCGAAGGCTGACCCTCGGTTTTTGTTCCTAAAGGTTCAGCCTCAGCATTTTCTTTTAAAGGCTGATCTTCTGTCACTGCTTTCACATCTTTCTTCTCTTCTTCTGTTCCTGGGATACCATCTTTGTCACCTGGTCCCTCTACAGGCTGAGTCTTCTCCGTGGATTCTGAGTGGTCTGCGGCATCCTTTCCAGCAGCCGCATCCTCTGTGAGGGGCTGTTCACAGACGGACTTAACACCATTGGCTGCAGACCCTGCTGAAACCTTGAGTTTTTCTAATGGAGGAAGGCTTTCCCTTTGTCCATTGTCATACAAAGTAGACTCTCTTCCCAGTGTACATGGCTTTGGTTGGGCAAAGCAAGACTCGCTTTTTTCTGTGGTTGAAAAATGTTCATTTGAAGATATTTTTTGATCATATATTTGAAAAAGAAAAGAGAAAACACAAATTATTGTTCAGTTTTATCTTAAGAAAGTGAACTGATATGAAGAAGTAGATTTAACAGTTCAAGACAGTCCCAGGTACATCTGAGTACAGAAAGGCCATTCAATGACCCTGACACTCTCCAAGCCAAATTCCTTTACTGTCTGCAGCTCAAATACCTCATCTTAATTCTGGAGTCCTCCAAAACCCCAGTTGTCTCCTGTCTGCTTCTTGTGCACCTTCTCATGGTTCCCATCCCATATTCTATTAATAATTTAGCATATTCCACTTTGTTTCTCATGTTCTTTTACCTGTCTCACCCTTTCTCCTCCTTAGACTTAACACAAGGTTTCACAATTTGTGTTCCTTGGAAGAGCTAGAAAGGTCTTTCTTTCCTTCTAATGCAGAACAGCCCCCAGTAAAGAGAAAAGTCCCATGGTGGAGAAGCCCTAGCAGGTGAAGGCTAAGAAATCTGGGGAGGGAAGTGGTAGGAACAGTTCAGCTTGAGTTTCATGTCATTTTAGGGACACAGTGAGAAAAGAAATCAACAGAGAGTTGGGAAACATCCATGTTACTTCTGGTTCTCCCTCCAACTGTGTAACCTTGGGAACTTAGTCCCCAATGATTTTGTCTCTAAAACGGCAGTGAACTTCTCTCCCACCTATCTCAGAGTTGCATGAGACACCCTGCCTTGTTAAACTGTGGATACGAAAGTGCTCTGGACAGTTTAAGAGAAGCATCTTGGCAACACATGAATACTCTTTGCCCCAGTAATCCTACTTCTGGAAATTTATTCTAAAAGCATAAACCTCAGGAAAATGCTTTAGGAGAAAAATATGCTATCTCAATATTCTTTTTTTTTTTGAGACAGAGTCTCGCTTTGTTGCCCCAGGCTAGAGTGAGTGCAGTGGCGTCAGACTAGCTCACAGCAACCTCAATCTCCTGAGCTCAAGCAATCCTTCTGCCTCAGCCTCCCAAGTAGCTGGGACTACAGGCATGCGCCACCATGTCCAGTGATTTTTTTCTCTATATATTAGTTGGCCAATTAATTTCTTTCTATTTTATAGTAGAGACGGGGGTCTCCTCTTGCTCAGGCGTGTTCGAACTCCTGACCTTGAGCAATCCACCCACCTCGGCCTCCCAGAGAGCTAGGATTACAGGCGTGAGCCACCGCGCCCGGCCTTCAATATTCTTTATAATAGCAAAAGCTGGAAAACAATTTAAGAGTCAAGTTGGGGAACAGATAAATATTCCACTGGATAGAATATGGTTGTACCACGAAAAAAGATGGTTATGAAGACCAAATGCTAAAATAAGAAAATAATTATGATATAGTAAGTTAAAACAAATCAGTCATGGTTGGGTTGATCAAATGAAATAATGCGTATAAAGTGTTTATTAGCCCAAAGTCTGCTGTGCAATAGTTAGCTATCAATTTTATATACAGTATGATTGCAGCAATGTTGAAAGAAAGGAAGAGAAGGAGGGAGAAAGAGAAGAAAAGCAAATTACAAATAGAGGCGGGGAAAGACTAGAAGAAAATAAACCAAATCTTAAAATGGTCTCTAGGTGATATTTTCACTCTTGCACCTTTTTTCCCAAAGATTGTTTTTCTTTTCTTTTCTTTTTTTTTTTTTTTTTGAGACAGAGTCTCACTTTGTTGCCCAGGCTGGAGTGAGTGCCATGGCGTCAGCCTAGCTCACAGCAACCTCAAACTCCTACGCTCAAGCAATCCTCCTGCCTCAGCCTCCCGAGTAGCTGGGACTACAGGCATGTGCCACCATGCCCGGCTAATTTTTTCTATATATATTAGTTGGCCAATTAATTTCTTTCCTTATTTATAGTAGAGACGGGGTCTCGCTCTTGATCAGGCTGGTTTTGAACTCCTGACCTCGAGCAATCCGCCCGCCTCAGCCGCCCAGAGTGCTAGGATTACAGGCGTGAGGCACAGCGCCCGGCCAGATTGTTTTTCTTTTTCCCCTTAAATTACTATCTACCCCAGTTGTATATGCATGTAGTTTAAAGAGTTACTGCTTATCTAACATAGTTAAAGACAGGTAACACTTGGGTATCCTCTCCCATTTCCCCTTCTCTGTGGATAAATATTTCAATTCTTTTAGCTCTTTTGGAGGAGTATTTTTTATATACTGCTAAATGAATTGTACTTTAGGATTTTTCTGTTTGAGGTATTTCAATTGACTGACAGAAGGTAAAGACCTAGTTCCTTTTCTATCCATCTCCACCACCTACCACTCTCTCCCATTACACATTCACATTTCCTTTCAATTCAGCAATTGTATGTTAAGTATTTAAAATGGTAATGTAATTTGGATCATATCAATATTTTTTTTTTTTGAGACAGAGTCTCACTCTGTTGCTCGGGCTACAGTGTCGTGGCGTCAGCCTAGCTCACAGCAACCTCAAACTCCTGGGCTCAAGCGATCCTCCTGCCTCAGCCTCCTGAGTAGCTGGGACTACAGGCATGAGCCACCATTCCTAGCTAATTTTTCCTATATATTTTTAGTTGGCCAATTAATTTTCTTTCTACTTTTAGTAGAAATGGGATCTCGCTCTTGCTCAGGCTGGTCTCGAACTCCTGACCTCGAGCGATCCTCCTGCCTCGGCCTCCCAGAGTGTTAGGATTACAGGCATGAGCCACCGCACCCAACCGGATCATATCAATATTGAGTTATATGTACTATATTTATTATAATGACTATGCCTGCTATGAGGAACTAGCCATGTACTAAGCCATTACTTTGTGTAAACAATGTTTTCTTTTTCTCCAAGTTAATAACTGTCATGGTTTTTCCTTTCCTTAGTTTGTATGTTATTATTCATTCAACTCACTACTGATTCTCTTTTAAACATTTATTCATAACAAATACTTGTCAATTTCACTTTTTATGAAGATGAAAGACTTATTGAGATACCTGGTGCCACCAACCCCTGAGCTTTTTAAGGATCCTGTGGCCTCAGAGCCACAACTGTTTAAAAAAAAAAAAGTAAAAAAAAAAATGATCTTGTGGTATCTGGGTGGTTCTCGGTTTTCTTTCCAGCTAACATCCAGTTGAACTTTCCTTGGTATGCTACGTGAGTTATCACACATCTGTTTGCTTTCTGAATTCCCATATTGTTCTATTATTGTCTTTTCTGCTGTTCTTCCCATCCTTCTGGGTTTCAACTGTTTTTTAAAAATCTCTTTACTGTCATTTTAGTGCATTTCAATCTGCCACCATCATCAATACATCCAAAAATGCTTTAATGTTATTTATAATGAAAAGAGGAAAAATTTCCAGATGAATACATTTATATACATATAAAAGCAGTTTACATATAAAGATGAAAACCACAAGCTCTGCTCTCTGGTATCATAGCATCACACAAAGCCATGAGAAGCAGTAAACTAACAAAAACAATGTCATACGATAAGTTCTGTGACAAATGCAAGAGGTCACACATGAGTTGAGTGTTATGGGAGCATTTCTGTGAGTTCCAGAAGGAGAATGCACAGGCGAGCCTTGAGCTAGACTTGGAAGGACAGTGGCTGGAGGCTGTTACAGGAGCCAGATCGTGGAGGGCCCTGTAGGTGGTGCTAAAGAGTTTAGAAGTTATCCTGAAGGCATAAAGAGCAAGAATTGGGAGCAGGGGTCTTTTTTTTTTTAGACAGAGTCTCACTCTGTCACCCCAGCTAGAGTGCAGTGGCATCATCATAGCTCACTGCAACCTTAAACTCTTGGGCTGAAGCAATGCTCCTGCCTCAGCCTCTGGAGTAGCTGGGACTACAGGTGCACACTACCACGCCCAGCTAATTTTTTTTTTTTTTTTTTTTAGAGATGGGGTCTAACTATTGCGCAGGCTGGTTGTAAATTCCTAGCCTCAAGTGATCTTCCCACCTCAACCTCCCAAAGTGCTAGGATTACAAGTGTGAGCCACCATGTCCCACCAGGGCTTTCTTAAAAAGTTAAATAAATATACATGCACCATATAGCTCAGCCATTTCACTCCTAGGTATTTTCCCAAAAGAAAACAAAGCATATGTCCATACAAACACTTGAATACAAATCTTCATAGCAGCTTTATTTGCAATAGCCAAACCCAGAAATAACTCAAATTTCTATCAATAGGCGAATGAGTAAACAAATGTGGTACATCCAGCAAATAAAAAAGAAATGAACAGCCGGGAAGTGGCTCACATCTATAATCCTAGCACTCTGGGAAGCTGAGGCGGGAGGATCACTCAAGGTCAGGAGTTTAAAACCAGCCTGAGCAAGAGCAAGACCCCCCTCTCTACTAAAAATAGAAAGAAATTAATTGACCAACTAAAAATATATAGAAAAAATTAGCTGGGCATGGTGGCGCATGCCTGTAGTCCCAGCTACTCGGGAGGCTGAGGCAGGAGGATTGCTTGAGCCCAGGAGTTTGAGGTTGCTGTGAGCTAGGCTGACGCCACAGCACTCTAGCCCAGACAACAAAGTGAGACTCCGTCTCAAAAAAAAAAAAAGAAATGAACAACTGATAAATGCAACAACATGAATGATTTCCAAAATAATTATGCTGAGTGAAAGAAGACAAAAGATCACATACCATATGATTCCATTTATATAAACTCTAGAAAATGCCAACTTACCTAAGTGACAGAAAGTAGAACAGTGTTTGTTTGGGGACTGGAATCAGAGTGGGACAGGAGGGACATTTCAAAGGGGCATAAGAAATCTTTGGGGTAATTGAGATGTTACTACCTTCATTGTGCTGATGCTTCCACGGAGCACACATATACCAAAACTTACTAAAAATGTGTGCACTACAAATATGTACAGTTTATTGTATGTCAATTATACCACTAAAAACTGCTGATTTTTTATATGTAAAAATAAATAAAAGAAAGTGGGAAAAAAAGGATTATGAGCAAGGGAGTGACTCAATCAGATTTAGATTTTTAAAACCTCCCTC